CTGCTATTCTGTCTTGCTTCAAATTATTACCGGGGAAAAAATGCTTTAAACCTAACTCAAATGATGATTTAACTAAGTAAAATGCTTTCGCAGCATTCAATAAACTGAATGAATCAAAAAAATGTTACTAAATATACGCTAAATAACCAGTTCAAATTTCATTTGGAACGTTGCATGGCCCTTGGCGACTATTGTAGAACATATTCGTGCCGCGGCGACTGTGGACTCTATCAGGAACCCTCATAGGGAGTCGCGAAGTTAATACTGATACCGACAAAGACCTGGGAGACCAGAATGGGTGCTGACGGTAGTAGGACAGAAGTAACCGTTTCCATCACCCTTTGTGTTTGTCGGTATCCCCTTATCTGATCTAAAAAAGTGCTGGAATACGGATAGGATCTGCTGCATCGGCGCTATTTCGGCACGTATAAGGGATCATAGCCCGCGTTTAAAAGACTCGCACTTGCAGCTTCCTTCTCGTGACAGAAAAAATGCAATTGTCTAGCATACCGCTTGCTGTGACTGCTAACGCATTCTCAAATAAGGTGACGACCCGTGCGCGCCGTTAACCCTCGCGGCCTTTTAAACCGTGTTCACGTTCCTGTGTGTGGGAGATGAGACAAATAACATTCCATTTGCCTTCCCTACCATCGACTATGCATGATCCATTACACGACGTCCCTAACTCGTTCGAGATCCTTGGTTTGGAACAACGTATGTTAATGAAAATCGTGTAACTGGTTAATGTTAGGGACCTTACGAGACTTAAATAAAAGGAGACAGTCCTTCTCAAAATTAATTTCAGTTTTTATGAGAGTCCTTCCGAATCTGTCTCAGTTGAATGCTGTTCAATAACAAGGGCTAGCTGATCAGGTCTCGGCGTCGCCGAAATTGATTTCATAACGATCATTCCAGTTGCCGATTTCTGTGGAAACAGAATCAGATGACACACATTCGTCTCTTTTCGCAACAGATCATAGGGGTCGCAAGCCTACGATCTAGGAGGTGGCCGCAACAAGAGAACCCAAGTCGTAGAGCGAATAAATCGACGAGGATGTTTTTGTGTCAGGGTGCAATTCCAGTTTATCTGGTAAATACCGGCAATCAAGCTGACGTGCGTGAGGCACTCTGAATGTAATAGTAGTTTACACACCCCGAACTCGTTATGGAACATGTTCGTCT